TGGTTTTTTCGATAAGCTTCTCTGAGGTAGTGAACACTACAATAAAGTTCTCACGTCCACTTGACCGGAATAGCGTATATTTTAACAATTCCACTTATTCTTCAGTTGTACAGATGGTTGTAATACAAAATCACACCAATTTTATTTCACAATATCCATTAAGAACGAATTTAAGAATAATTAAAATAAGACGCCAACCACACTCGATGAAATCCCGCCAAAAACTCCAGTTGTGCCCTTGCATGCCAGTATTGCCATCGCGTATACACAGGACAGTTCGTGAGAGTCACTCGTACCTACCTATTCTTGCGAGCCAATATAACAATCGAAGTGAATTAAACGAAATTGTGTTTTTACTAGCATTTAATCCCTATACAACGGGGTGCCCAATGAGGGCTATCGCGTATGAATCCGCCGCTAGAGGCGCTAGTGTAGCGTGAGGTCTCCGAAATGTCAAATGTTATTGCTTGTTGGTTGACTACGCGGGTTTATTTCTAATTAAAATAATAATGTCGTGAATAATTGGTAACAATTCGGCTTAATTATGGCAAATATGAGTTATGTGACAATGAATGTCAGTTATTAAAAATTTGAGCTTAGAAAAATGATTATGTTCCCATTTTTTCCGAATAAAACGGAACTGCGCGTCACTGTGGCATGGCCTATTATGTTTAGGATATGGTTCTTTTGTGTTAAAATACGATCTAAATGTAACCTTTGATTTCATGTGCGTATTAACAAACTTTAAAAGTTACAATTTAGGACCTCACTCAACAGTGGCGCCATCTGGTGAGGCAGAAAACGGTAGCCCTCATTGTGTACTTCGTGACAGTGAGGAACTCGAGGGCGTAGTGGTTAAGAGACTAAAAACACGACTGTAACTATTAATAGGATAGCTGTGATTTTGCCATATCAGATATACCTATATGTAGGGCTGCCATCTCTAAAATGTGGCCACCAGGATCAGAGGCGTGATAACCCCGGATTTTGGAGCCCAGAACCCGGACAGACCAATAAAAAATCAGTTAAAAATGTCGCAAATCAACTTTTTTTTGTTGATGTAGGCAAAAGAGCTAGCGGTCTACCTCATAATAAGTGGTCACTGCTGCCCATGGACACTTGCAGCACCAAGGAAAGCTGATCTTTGTTGGAAGTCTGCATTTATGGTTACAGTGTTAGAATAGATTTATTCATTTTCAAAGACATTTAAATTGACGGATTAATTGGCAACCCAAAACAGGAAATTTTTAAACCCGGACGACAAATGAAACCCCGCCCGGACGCTCCCCGGACGCCCCGTAAACTAGGACAAATCCGGGGAAACCCGGACGGATGGCAGCCCTACCTGTATGTATAAGTAACCCCACTTTCATCACAAAAAATGTATAATATTACAAAATACTATGAACATTTTCACTATAAGTTGTCACATTAAAGAAAGCTTAATAATTTATTCCTCGAGGTATTATATCAGATTTAATTCTTCTTGTATTTTGCTGTATGCACGTATGGCACGTGCTATTTTGTTTTTGTAAAGCGAGCTAGTCGGCTTCCAAAGACATTCGTATTCTCTATACAAATGAATCAAGTGTATCGTTCTCTCATCTCCCCATCGTGCCATGTTGAATACAACAAGAAAAAACTTGAAAAAACTTGACCTCCGAAATCAATACAAAAAACCTGCGCCCACGGACACAACGAGTCGGCTACTGGCATGCTCGTAGCTGTCGCGTCTGTTCACACGTGCCAGGTTAGCAGCCCCCCGCGACCCCTCCCTCAACGGGCACGCGAGCAAATCAAATGTGCTAGCTGCATGCATGCCAGCATGCCAGTATTACAGGCATGCCAGTTAGCGTATACTCATGACAGTAGCTGGCACGTGCAAGGAGCTGGTATGCTAGTGTGCAAGCTACGGGCATGTGTATCCCCAGCTTAATACAGTAATGCATCAAGCAAATAATTTCGCTTTTCAAGTAGAGTCAGGGAATAAACTTGTTAAATAAAAAGAAAAAACCACGGAACACAGAAAGATGTTAGAAGTGCCTTGTGGGCGGGGCAGGCGCGCCACAGTAATGTGTGAGCAAATGCTCATAATTTGGCCAAAACTTGTTTCCGATTGCGTCGTTGCTCTCGAGTGAGAGCGCCGATTGGTTCGATTGTTTGATGTCGCGTCGTCTGATTGGCTATTATCTATTGGGCGGAAGTGTAGTGGGGGTGAGTCGGCGACATCGGTTCCCGTACAAACTGTATATCCCCGTACAATCTAACCTCTTCCTGTGTTCTGTAGAAATAACCATTTTCATTTGTGGATTTTATTAGTCTATCAAAAAATATCGTACAAATCTTATTAACACAGAGCACCATTCTGTAATAAACTATGAACACTCGAGAGAAACATTGAAGCCAAACAATTCGATTCATCAATATACTTTACACACACCATAAAAAGGTTTTTTCAACAGGTCGAATTTTATACGCTAACAATCATAATAAAAAAAAGAGTGACACTATAAGACCTAAAATTGTAGCTATTCTCAATCTTTGAACGCATTATAATGCTACTGAATTGAAAAGTAGTGATATAGCAAATAATTTATGTTGAAATGTGAAATTATGAAGTCAGTCTGGTTTATGGACCATAACATAACATTTTACCATAACTATTTTTTTCTATCAAATATAGTACTTTCGAAGCTGTTAACTCTTAAAATATAGAAAATGGCAAAAAATGGAAAAAATATAGTATTAGGTTAAAATAATCAGAGCAAGTTGAAAAGAGTATAATCTAGTTTATCTACTTACAAAGTTCATTTATTTACAGTACAGCCACTTACGAAATTTTGCTTGTTCACTTACCAATTTGAAAATTATTAAATTGTTATATTTAATTTCATATAACAATTTTCTAACTTATTCCAACTTGTACGCCAATTGCAAGTGTTTAAAGTTCTGTGTAAAATTTAGTAAATTTACCCTCTTTTCCTAAAATTCATTCAATTCCCTTCTTTTTCCAAAAAAAATTAGGTAACATTGCAAAAAATACTGCACTAGTACTCTTTAAATTACCAATATGTCTTTGAGCAGTGCGCAAGCAGAATGCGACCAGCGGGCATTTTTGAAGCTAGCAAGTAAGATTTAAGTGGACGAATGTTAAAGTATGAAGCAGAAAGTGACCATTGGTCACTTTTGGGGTCAAACAGAAACAAACTTTAACATGGGTGTCGCCAACCAGTCTTACGCACGTAAACAGGGACCACGCGTCACGTAGCTGTTTAAAATTTGTTTTTATTGTTACCAATATACCTGTTTTCTCCTATGTTTACAGTCCACGTTTTTTAAAGACTCCATAGGACATTTATCATTGGTCCTTCGAGCCGGATCAATGATAATGGTCCTATAATTTAATTAAATAGTTAAAATTACCTAAGAATAATTGTTAAAATATATATTATATATAAAACATATTATAGTACTAATTATTTGATACAGCTCGAAGGACCAATGATAAGGGTCTTATGGGGACTTATGATTGATCCGCTCGATGTTTGAATTTAAAGAAAATGGTAACTATAATTGCAATTTCTTTTTCAAATACTATAATAATATAATTGTAAAGGTATTCATTTGACATTGTAGGTTACCTACAATGCGAAGAGATGGCGCTGCCTTGCAGCTTAAGAAAAGCTAGACTCGGCCATCATGGCTGCGTTAGCATAATGGTCAGTGCATTCGCCCGGATAGCGAAGTGTGCGGGTTCGAGTCCAGTCTGCTACCTGGTAAGCGTGGATTATTTTCTAGTAATATTTTCTTTAAAAATTTTCGCTTTCTTCAGAAATGCTCGCTGGTCGCTTTCTGCTTAACAACAGCCGTCTTAAGTGTCCTAGTAATAAATTAGGTTCACCTACACCATGGCATTAGACATGAACTTTACATATTTATACTGAGCGATCACACTAAATACACTCACAAACAATATAAACTGAAATTATACATTTAATAAATTAATTATATTAGGTACTCAAAAATAAAATTAACAATATAATACAGAAAATAACAATATGGAATGTCGCAAAAATCTTTATCAGAAAATCATAGATACCAAATTCCTCATGGAAAACTTTAAAAATGCAAAAGCTTTGACTACTCATAAATTAACATATTTCAACAAATTTTGTATACATTCGATATAAGAAAGCAAAAAAGATAATTCTTAATAAATTCGATTAAAAGACAACAGTAATAATTATACAATTATAGATGCAATTTATTAACAAACAAATTTTATATAAATTAAAATCAGTTCGTACTTACATAATAACCATCTTTATTTCAGTTACGTCAATAATGATGCTACTTTAATAAAGTTCATGTTTAAATTCTGTTAAGAAAAAGATTTTAATAGGTTAGGTAGATCGGATAAAATGCTAAAATATAATATCACATGTAAAAAAAATATATTTATTATTTTTTTAATAAATAAAAATAATTAGATAAGTATAATTCTGAATCTGAATTACACTTTATTTTGTTCAAATAAAGAAGATGCCTAAGTTTATGAAGCAAAGTTTGTTTAAATCATTGTAAAAAAAAGGATTTTTATCACATTTTTGTGGTTAAATATTCAATAAAATGGCTTATGACTGAAACTGTTTATCTAATAACTCTTTATAGTTAATACAGTGAGTTTCACACATCAGTGAATTAATAAATCTAATTTTATTCATTGCAAAACCCAGCTTTTTACATATATTTTGTATAAGGTAGGGTAGATATTACAGGTCAATAAGGTAGGTTATATTTTTTTCAGTGAATTAATAAATCTAAATTGATTTTTATTTTAGTTATAACATACCTTAGCTTTAAGACATATTTTGTATAAGGTAGGGTAGATATTACAGGTCAATAAGGTAGGTTATATTTTTTTCAGTGAATTAATAAATCTAAATTGATTTTTATTTTAGTTATAACATACCTTAGCTTTAAGACATTTTGTATAAGGTAGGGTAGATATTACAGGTCAATATGGTAGGGTATATTTTTTACAGATGCTAAGGTATTGTTACTGATCTATAAGATATGGGGAGTCTAAGGCACCCAGGCCGGCGGCCACGCCCCCTTCGTTGGCGTCCGCCAGTTTCGTTCTAAGCATATGACCCACCTGCTTATTGCAGTATATTCTATCTTTGGTTCTGTGAAAAAAAAAAAGAAAAAGTTATACGACTTTTATTTTTAAGCATGTAATTTCTCGATGTTTAAATCTAAAGAGAATGTTACTAGAAAAAAATCCAGCAGACGGGACTTGAATGCACTGACCCGCGGCCTGCGGCGGCATGCGGCCCTGACGGCCGTGTCGAATTCTTTCTAGCCTTTTTTAAGCTGCAAAGTAGGCACTGCCTGGACCGCGTGGAATTTTTTCCAGTAATATTCTCTTTAGATTTAAATTGTATGAGGTTTATTCAGGACAATTATGGCGCGATTACACTCGTTCGTTAGCCCGAATACGAGTGCCAACGGAAATCGAGTATACGACTTTTTGTAAAATGAACGGAGTCGTGTAGATTCATTATTCATATTCAATGTAATTTAAATAATAACCGCGAGGTAACACCTCAGACCGAGATTGCACTAGGCACCGCATGTACTTCTAATTTGTATGAAAACAGAGCGTATCAGATATCAAGTATTTATTGAAGTTATACTTCTTTAGGCGCGTTATGAAAAAATGATGAGAGTGAAATTTTTAGATGCGCGCGCATCACTGTAACCCAAAAGTAACACCATGAAGTTGGCCGCGGGCGCGTTATGAATGTTAGTGTCTAATAATGGTGGATTATTAACCACTTAGTGGTTAATAATCCACCATTATTAGACATCTGTTCGAAAGGTACTTTGAACGATCCACGGAGCTCCATAAGATGATCGCGTTGTCAAAAACAATGTTGGCACGCTCGTCGCCTCTGATCACTGTTTTCATATTTATAATATTTATCCACATGTTTCTAGTTTCTATATAGACACAACGTGTTTTAGTTACTTACAAGTGCTAATTACATATGGACTAATAACTTAAATTCAGTAGTGATTTTAATTGAATATTTTGAATATTTATTTAATTTTTCAAATTAAAACTGAACTTAATTGACTGTGTTAACTATCCTTTTCCAGTCCTTTTATTATTTTATTGTAATTATTAATTATTTGCATGCAATTAAAAAATATTTTTAATGATGCTAAAGAAGTATAACTTCTCACGGGCGTTCATAAGTTACACGCATCCATTTTTTTTATTTATTTATTAAATTAATTGCACATGTACAGTATATATAGGATCTTAAAATTATTTTAGCATGGTACATGACCCTGTCAGGGTGCTGCAAGTACAATAACTATATCACCACAACTACTAAACAGTTTTAGTTTCAAACAAGTTAGTGAGCTTTCCGTGACAGTTTCACTTATCATTCATAAATTCATTTACCGAATAGTATGCTTTCTTGATAAGATGTTGTTTGAGTTTCATTTTAAATGTATTTATGTTGCTTTCTCTTTTAATTTCTATCGGAATTTTATTATATATTAGAATTGAACGGTATAGAGGACTTTTTTTGAACATTTCTAGTTTTGGCACTGGTAATACTAAATCAAATTTATATCGCGGTTTTTTATTGAATGTAAAATATGTTGGTTGTTTTCGAACAAACAATGCTATTTCCATTATATACAGTGGTCACGCCACAAAACAAAACAAATTCCCGGCGCGGATCGGCGATTATATACAAGAAGAAAACACAAAAACTAGAGGGAAACTGTGGGAAAGGGGGTACCTGTTGGTTTGTTGGGCTGGTTCCTTGACGCCTGTTCTTCCTGTCCTGGAGAAATGTTCGCCTGTGGCGCGCCACTATTTCTTTTTTACACTAATGTTCGCGGGATGTTCGCGGGCCCCGGGGCGGATATATGTGTAGGCGAAAAGCGTCTCCGGAGCGCGGTTTTTTTGAAGTTATACTTCTTTAGGCGCGTTATGAAAAAATGATGAGAGCGAAATTTTAAGATGCTTTGTGTTTACCGGACATTAAGAAAATCTACCAACAAAATAGAAATAGAATCTCTATTTAGTGGGTGCTAACGACTGCATTGTGAAGGCCTATCAAAAGTATTTATTAATCTGGAACAACGGAACCAAAGCGCGATTCAGGAGACTACAGCGCCATCTCTTGACCATTGGTGTAGTAGAACCAAAAACCACATCTTTATTTTTTGTAATAAAGTAACAGTTATAAGTATTCATATTTATAATATTTATCCACATGTTTCTAGTTTGTATAATTATTCGGAATACGTGTTTGAGTTTCATACAAGTGCAAATCACATATGTTCTAATAAATTATATTCAGTAGCGATTTTAATTGAATATTTTGATTATTTATTTATTTTTTCAAATTAAAACTGAACTTTATTGACTGTGTCCTTTTCCAGACTTTTTATTAATTTATTGTAATTAATTATTTGCATGCAATTAAAAACTAATTTTAAACGATGCCAAAGAAGGATAACTTCTCACGCGCCTACATAAGTACACGCACCCATTTTTTTCTCAGTCGTGGGAGTTTCTTGGTATCTCCTCTCGGAGATCAGAGCACACAAAAGAGCCGTTGCCTTTTTCTCGTCCGTTCGTTCGAATTGCAGCGATGGCAGCGCCGCGGACGAAGTTGAGTTTAGAGGAAGGGATAAGGTAAATGTGTTTTCGCAAGCTTACGTTAGATGGCGTTAACAACAGTGAAGGAAGGGTTAACAATTTCTCTTCAATGAAATGTGGTTTACAACTTACTAAGTATTCACGGAAGCAAATAAATGGAGCATGGGCCGAATTCACCTACTTCAATTATATCATTATTACAGCTTAATACAATGTCATATTGTATTTTTGATGTGTAACATCTTTCCTCTCGCTTTCCTGCAATTTGTGGGAGTGATTACGTGAAATGGGACGGAAGTGTGTAACAGGAAGTCGCGAAAGCGCGCGCTGTTTGATTTTAGAACACAATGTTCAAATGGCTTATTCCTTTTGTAGTAGGTTTTATTTCTTTTTTTACTAATATAAGGTGAGGTTTCAAATGTTACACATCATACGCGACTACTGTAAGGCTCGCTCGTTTTTTTTAAACATTACAATTAGGGTTGCCATATGCTGGCTTATCAATTCCGGGACATTTGCACCCCCCCCCTACCCCCTCCCCTTTCACCTCCTTAATAGATGATTTATGAGATTAAAACTATTCTATGTCTCAAACTATCACTATAACATTTTTTTTATTACCAAACAGACACATTTACGCATTTATAATTTTAGTATGGCTAATAAGACTTACGTTTTTTTGCTGATAATTTGCGTATTACTATACACTCACCCTATAATGACGCCGAATATCCCCAACTCGGACACCAGATCAGTCAGAGGCGGAGGCACCGCAGCCCCCGGCCTTACAACGTACCCGCTTACCTGACAACAAGAAAGACAAACATTTTATTGGCCTTCACAGCATTAATTTATAAGAACAAAATGGTTATCTAACAGTCAAAACATCGACAATAATAATAAATGAAAAAAAAAGACTAATTTCTAGGTTAGTGTGCCTTGTAAGGCCAATAGGGCGTTGCGTCAGCTACGCTCAGACCCCTCTTTCCCAGTGGCCGCTTTGGGTAAGTGCCTAGGGCCCCGCGATCGATAGGGCACCCCCTCAGATCAAATACAAAGCCCCTAGGTCATAAATTCGGTCACATAGTCACCGAATTTATTGCGGGTAAGATGTTATTGGCAGAAACATCGGTCTACCTTCAGACAAAACAAGGTACATGGTAGCTATTCCGCTAATAACTATAGTTAATGAAGATGGATGAGTTTAAAACAATATATCATCATCGTATAGAAGTGCAGCTACTTTTCGGAATGGTCGCCCATTGGATGGGTGACCAAAAACTTATTATCTTGTGATCCTCCGTAATTCGGAAGACACGTTGGGCGTTGGTCCCGGCTGCATCTGCAGTCGTTAGCGACCACCAATAGTATCCGCGTGGCGGGTCATGGCCCGCGTGGTGGGTCATGGCCCGTACTACCTATGCCATCCCCAGGGAAGGTGAGTGCCTCAGCAACATTAATAGGCTGATGATAATGATTCAATATACCATGCCACTTACCAATGGCGGCAGTATCCTCTCCATGAGTATGTAGGCTGAGCGTTCCCGGGAATGACGCATCTTAAGTAAAGCTTCACGCACATCCGACCCGTACAGATTGTTACCACCCCCTTCGCGCTGGGGCTTCAATACGAACCTAGACAACACAGAATCAAACTCAAAAACTTGTTGAAACATATCGTATGCAAAACTCGTAGATTTCCATTTGTAATCAAAGAATTTTTTTTTGTTAATTATTTATTTATTGCACAAAACAGAGTTACAGCAAGCAAAATGGTAAAAGACACGAAAAACAGTTGATAAAAAATAATGAACTCCACTAGGTGACTTCAGAAGTATCTCTGAAGTCATTTTTCAACTTGACGACTCTGTATATATCAATACAGGGAGAAAAAAGCAGCCCTTGCCGAGTTTCTTGCCGGTTCTTCTCAGTACAAGGTCTCCCGCCGTAGTTTTGCGAACCGATGGCGTAGCTTCTTGACCTTCACAAGTGCTTGTAACAGCCTAGACTAAATAAATGACTTTTCATTTCATTTCGTTAGCATGTGCAAACAGCATGCTTATACAAGTACACAGTAACCATAAAATGGTTCTCTCTCTCTCCCTCCCCCCCCACCTCTCCCTCTCTCTCTTTCTCTCTCCCCCCCTCTCCCTCTCTCTACCCCCCCCTCTCTCTCTCTCTCTCTCCCTCTCTCTCTCCATACATTAAAAATTCAAAATTTTACTAATTACATTAACATAAAATTCATTAATAACAATTTAAATGAGATTAAGACATGCACAATTCATTAATCAAATTAGAAATACAAAATTAAATGAATTATAAATAAAGACATCATTAAATTAAATTAAATAAAAAAAAACATAAATACTGTTAAACAATTCTAATAATGATCATATCAATGGTATTAATTAATTAATATATTTTTCCAACTGTTGAGCGATTGACCGCAGGTGTTAGGTACTCCGTCCAACCCACTCAATAAATCATTATATTCCCGGCACATTCTATAAGTAGGATTATGGGAGGAAACATTATTGTTACAAATGGGTATAGAGAAAAGACACTCACGTCTCACAGAAGAGCGTTAATATCCTATATACATCAACACGAACAAAATCGTGGGCCGTAACCTGTCTAAAAGGTACATTGAACGATCCACGGAGCTCCGTAAGATGATCGCGAAAGTCACCTTTAATGCATACTGTATAAGGTCTTAATTAAAATGCAAATAGTTCTGTTGCGGTTCCTTCACCCATGAACTTATAAGCTTCCAATTTTTCAACAAAGTCGAAGTCACGGTAATAATAATTACTGGTTCTGAATATCACAACTCACCTCTCGGCGTTTTATAGTGCCATTTCGACGGCCCTTTCCCCACTCTCGTCAAAGTCCAGTGAGTACAGTCCCGTATATATGTCCCGCACTCGTTTTGTCGCGGTTCCTCCACCCATGTACTTCTCTAACACTCCCGGTACAGCCAAAGCTTACTGCACCTTCATTGTCTATTTTCTGTCTGATTCTTGAAAGAACATGACATTTTTCGGCTCAGCTGTGGACACCATAGTGTGTAATGTATGTTTCATACTGTCCGTCATTTATTGTCAATCTTTATTTATTTAAGTATAAGAGTTACCATCTGTCTGTATCCAAGATTGTCCGTTTTTTTTTAAATATTTGTTTTTGATGACAGTACTTTCCACTCACAGCACAGAAGTCATCTTTTTATTTTGCCCTCTGTAATCTACCAATGTAAAGTCCTGTTGAAGAAATGATTTCTGTTGATGATTCTGAATGGTTTAACTCACCTTTCGGCGTCTTCTAGTGCCATTTCGACGGCCCTTTCCCCACTCTTGTCAAAGTCCAATGAGTAAAGTCCCGTAAAAATGTCCCGCACTCGTTCTGTAGCGGTCCCTTCACCCATGAACTTAAAGCCTACCAATTTTCCACAAAGTCCAAGTCACGGTAATAATAATTACTGGTTCTGAATATCACAACTCACCTCTCGGCGTCTTCCAGTGCCATTTCAACGGCCCTTTCCCCACTCTCGTCAAAGTCCAGTGAGTACAGTCCCGTAAATATGTCCCGCACTCGTTCCGTAGCGGTTCCTCCGCCCATAAACTTCTCTAACACTCCTGGTACAGCTAACGCTTGCTGCACCTTTTTGGTGCCCGCTAATTGGTAAGCGATTGATGGGCATTTTATAGCGCTGAAACAAACAAAGTATTTAAATGTAAAGAAATCTATACTAATTATAAATCTGTAGAGAGGTCAATTCTGTACATGAAATATATTTTCAAAATAACTATCAGGGGGTGATTAGTGGTCGATACTGATGCCAAAAATGCCTGTCTGTCTGTCTGTCTGTGTGTATGTTCCTTATAGTAACAAAAACTACTCGACGGATGTTAACGAAACTTGGTACAATTATTCTTCATACTCCTGGGCAGGTTATAGTATACTTTTCATCACGCTACAATCAATAGCAGCAGAGTTACAATCAATAGAAGGAAATGTTGGGAAAACGGGAGAAGTTACTCCATTTTTTAAGCTTCCGTCGCGTGTGCAGCCTTCATGGTTAAAGTTACATAGAAATCATGTATGACGGAAATATTCTACATAAAATTGTCTAAAAAATATCCCGCAACAATAACACGTGTAATTATATAAGTCATTATTTATAGCACAAGCCTGAGAACAAAAACTATACTTTACACTACAGCTCTACACCGAAGCGAAGCGAGGGCGGGCCACTAGTTAATAATAATAAAAAACTATAAAGTTTTCCAGGGGGTAAACGGGATTCGAACCCGCAGCCTCCGCTATCCGTGCGGATGCACTGACCAATTATGCTACCGCAACCTTTATCGACCACAATCTTTCGACAGTTTAGATTCTAAAAGATATATGAGGCTATATTTTTCTAACAAAACTTTCTTTAGATTTCAACATCTAGCAGCTAAATGCTTTAAAAAATAAAAATAATAATTCTATAAGTGTCGCCGCACACGGGCCACACGCCACAGCCACAAACGCCGCCTCGAGAAGCTAAAAGCGGCTACTAAAGTGGCTGAAGCGCGCGACAGTGACCGACTAAGGTAAGGGAGAGAGGGGTGGGGAATCGCGCGAGTGACGTGTGGCGGCGTTTTGTATCGGCGCATTAAGTGGCCGGTGCGGGCCACAAGAAGCGAGCAACGACGATTGTAGCGTGTGGCGGCCACCGGCGTACCGTGTGTGGCGGGTCCATAAAAAATGTATGAAAACTACAAGAAATATGCCGGTGGCGGCGTTTTGTGGTTGTGGTCGGAGGCCCGTGGGCGGCGAAAATGTGAACGTAAAATTTTAAATACCTTTTAAAATTTCACGTCGCGTCGTAATACGCGCGTTTAATCAAAGTTTACATTTAAAGCATATTTTAATACAAAAGAACCGTATCCTTAACATCGGCCATGTCACAGTGACGCGCAGTTCTGTTTTGTTAAAGAGGACATTATATTTTTTCTTAGCTACGCTTTTAAATAACTGACATTCATTGCCACGTAACTCATAATTAAACCGAGTTATTACCAAATATTATATTCACAACATTATTTTAATTAGAAATAAACCCGCGTAGTCAACCCACAAGCAATAACATTTAAAAAATTATAACAAAAAAAATATTCATAATTTTACTAAAACCCCACGAAAAAGATAATAGTTTTGTTATCTATTGTCACGTGACCTAAAACGCTTGGGATTGGCGGAGCCTAAAATGACGTCACACGCAAGTAAACTTCCGGTTAAAGTGACATTACATTGTATCGTTTGACGTTTTAATAACAGTCGTTTGACGTCACACACTACATGAAAATGGAGTTTTTGGTTTGGTTATTTTTACTGAAATACACAACGGAATGATGAATATCCACTTTTTACGGACTCCATAAACGTGAGATCGTTTTCTAAAACTTGTCAAATACCCTACTGTTACACAGACTAACTTATATCCAGAGACAAGATCGAGGACACAGACTAACTACTAATTTGAGACCATAGCTAAAATGACATGAATGGAGTGACTGGATCAAGTTTTTCTCAACAAAAACGCAGCCTATGTGTTAATCCAGGGTATCAGCTAACTCCATACCAAATTTTATTCAAATAGTAACAGACATACACACGCACAAACTTTCGCCTTTATAATATTATAATGCGATTCAACTAAGAATAGGACCGACTGGGCGCCATATTTTGACGTAACAGCTGTCAATTCAAACCAAATAGGTAGAGTGAGCAAAAAAAATCTTCTTTCTTTTCTATTAGTTTAGTTTCTATTTAATAAAACTTATTAAGTGAGAAAAAACATCAGCTTTTTAAATAAAATTAATTTACTAAGATTGAGAGAAAAACGGAGGAGCTCGATGGCGCAAGTGGTTAGCGCGTTCGGCTGCGATCGTTGAAATTAAGCAACTTTCGCAGTGGTGAGTCATTGGATGGGTGACCAAAAATTACTATCTCGAGCTCCTTCGTGCTTCGGAAGGCACGTTAAGCCTTTGATCCCAGCTGCATCTGCAGTCGTTAGCACCCACCAATCCGCACTGGGCCCGCGTGGTGGGTCATGGCCCAATCTCCCCCAATTCCATCCATAGGGAAGGCCTGTGCCCCAGCAGTGGGGACATTAATAGGCTGATGATGAGAGAAAAACCAAAAGATTTTTAATAATATTTCTTTATTAAGACTGTGAGAAAAAACATTAATCAGAATCTAGCTCTTCAATTCCGCTCATCTCTGCATTACCGCCGGAGTAGTTATGAATAATCATGCTGGTCACATACGAACATGCATCCTACATGTAAAGGAAAGTATTAAATCGAGTTTCTGAACGCAACATAAAGTAACATTTGGTTGACGATTTAGGTTATCAACCATTCATAGCCAAGAGTCAATTAATGAAAAAAAATATCAACCAATATTTGTTATTGTTTGTTCAAAAATGATTGAATTGTATTCTAGAATTAGCTGAGTGCTAAAAAAGTGTTCCGAGTTTTTTTTGCAAACTGTACTTTTCAAGCGACATTTGACAGATGGAGGTCATTGGCTTTCCTATTCTTATTTGAATCGCATTATAGTGTGATTAGTTGGAACTACGATACTCACGTGGATCTCTCTACTCTGAGCCTGGCGTCCCATTCGCGACAGGAGGGATATTGCGCCGGCTCATAGCCTGATCTATAGTACACCACCGCAACTGGTTTTCCGTCTCTATACAGAAACAAATATTATTATTCATGCCAAAAAACATATACAGTACTTTTTTTTTTAATCTTATATATAAAATTCACGTGTCGCGGTGTTTGTGGTTAAACTCCTCCGAAACGGCTTTCCCGATTCTCATGAAATTTTGTGTGCATATTGGGTAGGTCTGAGAATCGGACAACATCTATTTTTCATCCCCCTGTTAAGGGTGGTCCACCCTTAATTTTTTTGTTTTTTGAGCTATTTTTTTTTTATATTATTATACATATACATCATGCAAAAATATATGCAACCCTTAATTTTCACCCTGCTACCACCAACCCCTTTTTTTATGGCGGTACGAGGTTCGCTGGGACAGCTAGTATCTTATACAGGGCGTCCCACGGCTACCTAGCTCGGAGGGAAAGTATATTAAAAATTGAAGATAGGATATTTTACTGAAAGAAGACATCATTTTATTTTTATTAATAACTAGAACTGCATTCACAGATTTTTTTAAAATCGCCTGCTACAACTGGGAATCAAACTCGTGAAATTTCGAAAAAATAAACACAACATATTTTATAATAACCATCGAAAGGGTTCATCATAAGGTTTATTTTTTGCTAAATAACATAGCATTTTAAATGAATGGAATGTCTTATTGCGTGATAGAAATAATAAAGTGATATACAAACTGTAGTACGTATGCATTTCTTTATGAACTCATCACAGTTACAATGTAATTGGCTGAAATTTATAAAAAGAATATTTCGAAAATGGAACAGATTAATTTTCAAGCGTCCGTTCTTTTGTTTTTTGTGACTTTCATTTTCGTTTATTTGCAATTTTTTGTTAATTTAATTACCATGGCGTATCAAAATAAAATTTATTTAATGGAAGGTTACTTTATGAACCACAAAGACATGTTAGCTTTGCGGTGGTACCACGAAAGATACACTCTTCTCTTCTCGATATGTGTTGTTTTAAAGGTGTTAAGAGTACTTGAAGAAAATTAGGACGTTTTGATATGCGCTTACAGAAACCACAGCAGCGGATGATAAACGCCAACGATGATGAACTCAACATTATAAGTTACTTTGAGGCGTATCCGATTTTATATTAGTTTGTGTTAAATAATTTTAAATAAAATGTTAAATTAAATTACTTTTCTTTCATTTAAAATGCTATGTTATTTAGCAAAAAATATTCCTTGTGATTAACCCTTTCGATGGTTATCTTAAAATATGTCGTATTTTTTTTTGAAATTTCACGAGTTTGATTCCCAGTTGTAGTTATTATTAAAAATAAAACGATGACTTGTTTCACTAAAATATCCTATCTTCAATATTTAATATACTTTCCTTCCGTGTGAGGTAGCCGTGGGACGTCCTGTATATAAAATTCTCGTGTCACAATGTTAGTTACCATACTCCTCCGAAACGGCCTGACCGATTTTAATGAAACTTTATATGCATATTCCGTGGGTCTGAGAACCGGCTGCTATCTATTTTTTATATCCTTAAGTGATAATGGTTGGCCACCTGTAACGTAGTGTTCTGAAACCTACAATACGCCTTCGCGCCAATATTCAGACTATTGGGTATTGTAACGTAGTGTTCTCATATAGGTTAGGAGGAATGTTATCCCAGGAAATTGATGGAATACTACGTTACGTACTACGAAAAAATTTTTTTGAAGATTTTTTTTATAAATAATGACGACCTCCGTGGCCGAGTGGTTTGTACGCCGGGTTTCATGGTGTCGCTGACTCGAGAGGTCCCGGGTTCGAATCCCGGTGGGGGCAGATGTTTGTGTGATGAATACGAGCATTTGTACTCCAGTCATGGATGTTTAAATATGTATTTCTATATAAATATACTTATATATGTACAGTATATGTATTCTATCCGTTACCCTGGCATCCCATAACACAAGCCTTACAGTGCTTACTTTGGGGCTAGGCTAATTGGTGTGAGTGTTGGAAATATTTATTATTTTATTATTTATTATTATAATGTGCTATTAATAGTGGTAGTAGTAATACATAGAACAATATTTTTTTCTCCTACCACCTGCCCCTATCTTTATCGCGGTACGAAGTTCGCTGGGACACTTAATATAAATATATATTTTTAAGCTTCACACGTGCATCGTATAACATTTTTTTTGGAGTTTACTCCTTAAGAATCTATATGCATATATAAGGGGCCCGGTATGAGAAAAATGTGAGGAGTAAAATCTATCGATGAATGACATTAATGACCTCGTTACGTTTAAAATTAATGAAAACAAATAACAGAATATAGAGAAATGCCGGCACTCTGGAATAGTGATTTTCAGTACAGATGGAATTATAATACATATTTACAAAATGATGACTGTGATGATATTTTTGAAATTGTGTGTTTCCAGAAAAACATAATAAAATATATGATGAATATCGCTGATGTTAGATGATAAAATGTGTGACATGGAACCTATGATAGTCGAAACCATGGGACGATTCCTGAGGTATCTCTACTTGTAACCGACTTCTTCGGACTTGATTTTGTTTTGTGTCTGTTCAAAGACAATCGTTTTTAGAGTGTAAACTCCGGTCGTGCGTCGGAGCTGACACACACAATTTTTTTTATTCTACTTACATCATTAGTTGTTTTTTATCATTCAGCTCTGTCTCTTCGTAAATTTCATTCATGGTCTTTCTGATAATCTGTAACAAAAATTAATGATGAGTGAAAACATGAATACTTGGCAACTATTACCTAAGTTTGCAGTTCATATCATCATCATCAGCCTATTAATGTCCCCACTGCTGGGGCACAGGCCTTCCATAAGGAAGGAATAGGGAGACTGGGCCATGACCCACCACGAGAGCCCATTGTGGTTTGGTGGGTGCTAGCGACTGCTCGAGCGAGCGAGCTCGAAATAATAAATTTTTGGTAACCCATCCGATGAGCGACCATTGCGAAAGTTGCTTAACTTTTATGATCGCAGGCGCCAACCACCAGCGCAATCAAGCTCTTCGTTGTTCTAACACCGGCACGCATTTCTACCGCAGATAGGTAAAAGCCATCAGAAGAGGTGGAATCACAGAACACAGAAAGAGATTCAAAGGGTGATCGATCATAGACCGTTTGTACGGGAACCGCTGTCGCCGGCTCGCCGCCAGTACACTTCCACCTAATAGGTAATAGCCAATCAAACGACGCGACATCAAACAATCGAACCAATCAGCGCTCACATCCGAGAGCAACGACGCAACCAGAAACAAGTTTTGGTCAAGTAATGACCATTTGCTCACACATAACTGTGGCGCACCTGCCCCGCCCACAATGCTCTTCTAACCTCTTTCTGTGTTCTGTGGGTGGAATCATCATCATCATCAGCCTATTAATATCCCCACTGCTGGGGCACAGGCCTTCCCTATGGATGGAATAGGGAGATTGGGCCATGACCCACCACGCGGGCCCAGTGCGGATTGGTGGGTGCTAACGAGGAACTCGAGATAGTAAATTTTGGTCCCCATCCAATGACCGACCACTGCGAAAGTTGCTTAAGCTCATGTGCCTATAGAATGAGTTAATAAAACTAACCTGTATCTCCGGCCTGGTCTCTGATATGTGAAACTCGTGGAACCTCTGGCCACAAATGTGTCAGGAGACCTCTACCACAAACAGCACCACGGCTATGGGGACAACGAGCAGATCGAACGTTTAACTGATGCTCGAGTAGAGGCCTGACGGTTCTCAGGCATCTGGCATCATCATCATCAATCTATCACGTCCCTATAGAATGATTAAATAAACTAACCTGTATCTACGGCCTGGTCTCTGATATGTGGAACTCGTGGAACCTCTGGTCGCAGATGTTGTAGGACTCCTCCTCAACCACAAACAGCACCACGGCTATAGGAACCACGTACAGATCGAACGTCTAACTGATGCTCGAGTAGAGGCCTGACGGTCTCAGGCATCTGGCATCATCATCAGCCTGTCAATGTCGCTATAGAATGAGTAAATAAAAACAAACCTGTATCTCCGGCCTGGTCTCTGATATGTGGAACTCGTGGAACCTCTGGTCGCAGATGTTGTAGGACACCTCCTCAACCACAAACAGCACCACGGCTGTGGGAACCCCGAACAGATCGAACGCCTCCGTGATGCCCGAGCAGAGGCCCGACAGCGCGCGGTTCTCAGGCATCTGGCATCATCATCATCAGTACGTTAGTTTAAGTGAAACTAGTAGAGAGGCAGTGTAACTTATAGCTTTGTTGCTTGAGCTGGGTTTCTGATTGGGCTGGGTATCTATTTCAGCTGGGTTTGAAGTGTAACATTATTTAATTTTGCGATAACCAGTCCGCTATAAAACTGTTGGAAAATCAGAAGTTTGCGTTATCTGTTTAAATCTATTTCTGTATTGCTACAACAGCAGAAGCAGATGCAGACGGGACCGACATCTTAAAGCGCCTTCTAAGCTCGTAGCAGTGAGAGACAATAAGTTTTTGGTCATCCGATAACCAAGCGTTGCGAAAATTAAATTCTACGATCGCAGACTGGACGCGCTAACCACCTGCATGGTGCAGGCAAGCTCCTCAAAAAAGGACATATGCCATAAGTAGTGTTTTCAGGTCCGATTTGTTTTAAATTGGTACATGAGGTCAAACAAAACGGGATTTAGGGTTGCAGATCGGAACAGTAAACAAAAAAGGGATTTAAAGTACTACATCTGCAAGTATAGTATTATATTAATTACATACATTAATTTTTTTGATTAATTTGGCGTCCCGATCAGATACAAATCGGGACGCTTCCGCAGACCCCTGCAAATCGGGACACCTGGCAACACTCGCCATAAGATTGATTGATCAAATAGCTTGATGAAAAAGGATTGATCAAGCTAAACTGACCTAAGTGTGTAGATAACACACGATCAATTTTGGAAGAACATGCCACTTGACGGAAGGATTTTGGCTTGATCAAGCGGCATGATGGTGAGTGGCCAAAATTACCGTCGAGCTCTCCAGGGTTTGTGTTTTGCGACACCAGGGTGAGGTGACGGATACAAATACATGATAAATATACTTCGAGAACACACCTATCGGACCACTTAGTGCTATAACTTTCAACGGTCTGTAACAAGAATATACAGGGTGTAAAAAAACTTATAACGAAGTCGAAGGCCACGTATTTTCCACATTATGACGATCATTTTTTTCTTCAGGACCATACCTGGGAAATTTATGGTTATGGAGATATTGAAGGTCAAAGCCAAAATATTTTTTTCAAGATTAACACACACGCACACTCATACACACGGGCACATTCTTTGCGTAGCGCCACAGTAGAGCGCCGCGCTATACATTGCATACTGGGAAAAAAGTGTATTTTTTAAAATTTAAAAACACAATTTTTTCCCACCTATAATATTTTATAATATGACTTCTTTGGGTGTACAGAATTTGTAGTTTAAGTCTTTGACATAGGTTTTTTTACACCCTGTAGGTTGCAATAATAACATTTTTTTTAAACACGAAAAAGTTGGGGAGTTGATCAGCTTCAAACCTGCCTTAAAAACTTTTTGATCAATGTAACATTTACTTTTAGCTACGCGACTGTCAAATCTTAAAATGGTAGTTAGGTTGGCCGATAGATGTGTCCGGAAGTAAAGATAAGTACCTAACTATATTTTTGTAGAAATATGGCTTGGTTTCAAGTGCTCGTTTTCATCATACAAACATTTGCTACCATCAGGATTCGAACCCTGGATCTGTGAGTAGATAACCTGGAAAACTGGTGTAGATACCACTCTACCAAGGAGATTGTTAATATAAAGCTTCAGTGAACAAATCATGAAATTAATAGTGAAAATCTCATCAAAATCAATTGCTTGTTTTATAAAACTGTCATCATCATCATCAACCTATTTAATGCCCCCACTTCTGGGGCACAGGCCTTCCCTATGGATGGATTAGGGAGATTGGGCCATTACCCACCACGCGGGCCCAGTGCGGGTTGGTGGGTGCTAACGGCTGCAGATGAAGCCGGGACCAACGGCTTAACATGCCTTCCGAAGAATCCACTGCGAAAGTTGCTCAACTTCAACGACCGCAGCCGATATACGTACCTATAATTTCGGAAATACGATAGGAATATACACTTACATTCTTTATCAGATCGGAATGCCCAAGTTGACGGAGTATGTAGCTGTTAAAAAGAAGAGAAAATTAATAAACAACTCGATATTTTTTTCTGATAATTTAATGACCACTTAATATCCCATCTTTTAGAATTTTTAATTACTCAGGGAGTCTTTGAAAGCTATTTATTTATTAAAGGATTTTTATAGTATTCAAAAACTGCTTTCGTCGCATTTTGTCATTCATTAAGTATTTACCAAGCTTATTATATTTTTATTTTGAAAGCATTTAACTGCTTGATGTTTCAATTAAAATTTTGGATTTTGTGGAATTTCTTCTGGTAAAATTTTCTTTTGAACGTCGAGCTCACAAGATTAAAATTTAATAAACTACAATTGCTGTTTCTTCTTTCAAATGTTTAATACTTTTAAATAATTTTATTTTTACTTATTTCCTTCGACATTATGGGTAACCTACAATGCGAAGTGATAAAAGATATGGCGCTGCTTTGCAGCCTAAGAAATACTAGAAGAAATTCGCCACGGCCATTAAGGTCGCGGTAGCATAATTGGTCAACGCATCCGCCCGGATAGCGGAGGGTGCAGGTTCGAGTCCCGTCTGCTGTCTGGACCGCGTGGAATGTTTTCTAGTATTTTTTTCTTTATTAAGTAAGTCGATACATACTCATCATATCCATCATATTATGAAGAGTCAGTCATAAAGTCGTTCGAGTCGCCGAAAAAATTGATTATAACTATCATCTTTAATAGTAATTCAGTTTTATTTATCAGAAGATCTAACAAATGTGGTCCGTCGAGCCGGATCACAAAACAGCGCCAAAGTTACAGCTAGATGCACTCCTCGCAAAGAATTGTGAAAAAATGAGACGTGCATCGATTTCGAATACATTTTAGTGACACTCAATTTTGGAATCTGGTTTGGTCCTACACACTGCGAGTGGTTTATTGGAGGATACTAAGTTTAACCGCAGAATGCACCTCGCACTGTCCAACAACGATATTAAATACCCTAATAATGATTATAGATACACTAACACGAACAAAATCGTGGCCGAAACCTGTCCAAAAGGTACATTGGACGATCCACGGTGCTCTGTAAGATGATCGCGTAGTCAAAAACAATATAAGGCTTTTTTTGAACATTGAACGTTGTATTTGTACTGTATAAGGTCTTAATTTAAACGCAAGCTTCAGAGTTGTGAAAGTTCGAAATGCAGGCTCATAAAATTTTATGACTTATTGTTATATGCAGAAGAATATAGACCTTATTTCTTTGACTCTACACGCAATTCTGAAAGCGCTGTTACCAATACAGCCGGTACGGACCGCGAGGAAAAGCGACCTCTATTTTACCGACTATGCATTTGAATATCACAAATATTTTCGATTAAATTAGTTTATAGTAAGTATTAGAACAAAATTTACTTTAAATGCGTTAAATGAACAATCATTGAATAGGTAATAAACCTGACGAAAAAACGACACAATGTACTATTAGTATTGTTTTCGCATTTTTTCACGGAGCTCTGCGGCATCTTGACTTTTCAATTCAACGGTCCGCGCGTGACTGTGAACCAAGAAGTGCTTGAGTGGTGTTCAAGCACTTCTTGATTGGGACACATTTTGAGCGCACGTAGTGTATCTAAAGTATTTAATATCGTTGCTGTCCAATGTTATTTTATTTCAGGATCTTAAAGGTCGTAAAAGACATATTGCTTTTGAAAAGGGATCGTTCGTCACCCTATCAACTCGAGAATTTCATTTTTTTTGGTAGAGCTTATGTCATAGCTGAGGCGAACCGTTGTCTAAATAAGAAGTTCAAAAATATTCGCATATTTCCTTTATAATACGGTTTAATAAGCACTTTGTAAAGTATGCCAGGTGTCAGGAGGATATAGCTCGCTTTAAAAATAAACAAATGCGTATGCGAATATATTTTTGATTTTGTGTTTCAATTACGATAAACGTGACAAAACCCAGAACTTCTCAGACACTATAGATACACGATTATTAGTTTAACTTCTCAGAATAAAAGCCTGCTCTCCTGTTTTAATCTTCTGGTAGGTAGACCAGTAAAAGATTATGTTATTAATGAATAATAAAAACATAAATGTTAAATGAAATTCTTCGAATATGCGACAATATACTCACTCGCCGTAATGTAGGTGTCCTATTAAAAATAAATCTTAAGGTAAAAATTTATGATAATAAAATATGTGGGAAAATGCAAAAATCAAAATGATAGTGAGCGAAAGATTCATACAAAAAATCATACAGAAACAGATGTAAAATCAAACCACAACAAGCAAACAACATTAAAATTTAAGAAGCATGCTACGCTACGCATTATGATCACAGAGGCCCATTTTCTAAATTTCGAAATATATAATTTACTCAAAAGCAACAGTACACATGACACGACACAATAATACACAACTACAAAAAATATCACTAAAACCCACTTTTTTAGAAATGAAAAAATATAATGGAAATTCATCTAAAAAGTCGTATTTTTTTGAATCAAGCTTTATAATATATTGTATATCAGATTTAATGTTCATTAACTTAATAAAATACCAAAAATTAAATATAAGTAATTATTAGGCATATAAATTAATTTCGGTCAATTATGATTTTATTTATGTAGACACAACAAGTTATAGAACAGGCATTAAAAAAATAAGTTTAATTTTTTTACATTTATTTTCAGTAATAAAATATATATTTTAAATTGTTTTATAAGACAAAAATGTCTTAACTTAGCATTACCTGCTCATTCGTACAGTCTGTTCGCGCATCTTTGTTTATTCGCTTCGTAATTGAATATAAGTTTTTCCAATACATAATCCTTCCGTCTAAGGCAGTTGTCACACTATTGGCTACTTTCTCGCTCAAGAAACGTACAATAGATACATTTCGCGTAAACAAAAGGGATGCATATATCAACAGTTGATCGCCGGCAGTGTGAACAGCGAAAATGGTCAACTTAGAAAGATTAATCAATATGGTTACATTTGACATATATTGGCTTGTTTTGACATTTAGGGGGACGCGGGTGCACATTGACCTTTAATTTAACAATGTTGGTTCAAGTGGCTCTTAGCCTCCGTTGTCACAATGAGTAATGGTCTCTTTTGGTCAATGAGACATATTGGTTCGATCGTTGAATCACAATAACGCTTTTAGCTGTAACTACAAGCGCTATCTGATAACTAACATGTATTAGAATATTTTTCTTTGGTTTTGTATATAAACTTGAAACATCTTGGTATCTAAAGTTAATTACAAATAATTTTGATGGCGTATTATACACTATTTTAGATTTATTTATTATATTACTAATCATATGCACATTTAAGTTCACTAGCTAAATGGAACTCAATTGAAGGTTATCTGCTTAAATAAGTAGGTTTTTGCTCTTAAAGAATAACAAGTTTCTTTTATAGAAGACCGAAGAATAGTACGAATGTGGATTCTGTACAAATTACTATTTTAACTGACGATGTTTCTATATATCTTCTATAACGTTTTTGAGAAGCAATTTACAATAACTTTGTTAAGCGATTGCATATAACCGGTTATTTTAAGAATATTTGTGTTCACAGAATAATTATATACAAACAAAGATTGTTTAACGTACGATATTCACACATGCCGGTAAAAAACCTCTGTTCATGAGTGATTGAAGCGCAAAACAATGTTTGAAAGATGTGTACCCTAAGCCAGACCTAGCAATGATTGGACAGAGAGAGAGACAACATTATCTGACTTTTAATGAGCAGCACATTCCCGATAATTTCAATACTGCTTGACCGACAATGCAGGCGTGGTCAGGTAACATCTCTCAAGTGATCGCAAAACTAGAAGCATTTCAATGCGTTCGATAAATACATGCTTTTTATCTATTGTACAAAAATAAAAGAAAAAGTCTCTTACTCGAGCCTAAATATGTACTTATATAATCTAATATGATCATATTTTCTACGTGTGGGGAAGCTCAAGCGTGCAAAAAACAACAATAAAACAAAATAAACAAACAAGCACATACGCATAGTGTTCAAACAAGAAAAGATAAATGTAAAGCGTGCATTGGAAAGGAAAAGACAGCAGCCACATGAGAGATGTCGACTGATTTCATTGTCGCTTCAGCGATACGGGTACAGAACCTGGACAAATTGTCAAAAAGGATTTTCAATGTTCTAAAATGTACAGAATCGCTTTGTTTTAACTTTAATGTGTCCAGGTAGCTTTCCCGCGCACTCAGCGACGTCATGTCGGTACCGAGACATGGCGGGCAGATACGACGTGATGGCGCCAAAACTGGAGGCGATCGTGTTAAATTCCACTTGCTTTATTCCGTTCCGCTCAGCATTCTGCATCAGGTAGTCGGAGCGGAAGAGGCCGAGGCTGAGTGACTGGAAAACGTTAGAACGTTGAACGTCTGTCCATTCATTGTTGTTTTAAATGGAAATTATTTTGATTTAATTACTTATGGATTTAATAGACATTTCATGATGATTAATGTTGTTCTATAGCAAATGATTCTAATTTAATCATCGTTCATATCATTCGGGTGTTAAAACACATTTTTAATTAGACGCTTTATCTTAATTACGTAGTTGATACACTCGAAAAATATGATGAATTTGTGTGTGTCGTTAGATATTACTTGATTAGACATTATATGAGACGCGTCCTTGTGAAAATCATAAAATCATATTTACTAACAATATTTTTTTATAATAGTTTTGTTTCTAAAGATAGAAGAGTTGCGATAACAAATAAATATTTCAATAGACTGTTCATAAGCCTTCATAATATATGTAGGCATCCACAAGTATTGAGAGCGCACAATGAAAATGTGTTTGTAGATATTAATTCACCTACAAGAGATATTTCAAATGCTCACATCCGATTTATTTAAGAATTTAGTGTTTTTTTCAAATTATCAATTCAGTGTTGTCTTAAGATGAAATGGCAATTCAGTTTGAAGCCCGACTGGTCGTCAATGAGTAGTGATGTTTTAACAAATGATGGAGCGACGATTATTTATTAGTCGACAACACAATGAACGTTGTATCATTACGTGTCTATATTATTGACGGACGGTAAAAATGACGGTTATTCATGCACGAACAATAGTTGTTTACGTAAACCTTAATCGAGATAAGTTAAACGACAGGACATACGATTGTTTAACACGGTTTCATTGTTATTTTTTATGGGTTTGTTATAAATTTAATATTTACACCATTGATGAAAAATTAAATAGATAAATCGAATCGAAGTTGTTATTGTAGGTATACATATTTATTTATTAACCATTCACAGTTCTATTTAATTTTACCTCTATGGTATCAATACTAGAACATGCTTAGATGTTTAGTCTATCTACGTAAAATTATTAATACATCTATTTATTATTAATTATATACTTATGCTGGGCCCCGTGATACAATACCGCCCACGGGTACTCGTTTTGTATTCCCAAATTCATAACGAATTATTTAAAAGGTGACAGAAGTATATTTTACTTAGAGAAGAATCAGCATACCTGACGAAGGCCCATATTACAGAATGAAAACTAAGTGTTGATCTTTACTTGAGTACAGTTAGAAAGGGATATTGCTATGTGCTATATAAATAAATAAATATGTCCAACACTCACACCAATTAGCCTAGCCCCAAAGTAAGCACTGTAAGGCTTGTGTTATGGGATGCTAGGGTAACGGATAGAATACATATACTGTACATATATAAGTATATTTTTATAGAAATACATATTAAACATCCATGACTGGAGTACAAATGCTCGTATTCATCACACAAACATTTGCCCCCACCGGGATTCGAACCCGGGACCTCTCGAGTCGGCGACACCATGAAACCCGGCGTATAAACCACTCGACCACGGAGGTCGTCAAATTGCGACATCCCTTTCTAACTATGCTCAAGACTAGATCAATCACTGAGAATCTTTCTATAATACGGGCCATAAACAGTTGTTGATAATATCGAATATCTTTTACAAAAATTGTTGCAGTTACCTGTGAAAGTTTCTTAATATTGAGAAACATGTTCATTGATAAAGAAAATCTCGCCAAACACTGTCTCTAAATAGACCGAAACCGTGTCGTAAAAAAATAACGCTTAAAACTATAATTGTTTGAACTCGATTGCCGATTATAGGGCGAAAACCTTTAGTACTGTCAAGGTTGTACCCACGTTGAATATCAGTCAAAACTGCCAACTTATTTTGATTTTACAGCCATATACTGCGTCATATACGGGAGCTAATAATGTGTCCATCAATATGTGTTTCCAATACCTCATTTAAATTAATATGACGTAAGAAGCATTTAATATTATCAATATCGACTGAACAAGCATCGACTACGACTTTGAGATGATTTCGAATCCTTTTTTGCATTCTGTACCCTTAGTATGAGTTTGAGCTCATGAATCATAGTTTTCGTAATTGTAAATTATGTTTCCATGTCCATTTTGGTGAAAAGCAACCAAATAAACATAAAATTTAAGAAGACACAAATAATTTAATGATAGAAATTAAACACTGTTTATTTGTATTAAAACGAAAACAATAAAATCAGTACCCTTAGTACGAGTGCGAGCTTACGAAAACCATTATAGATTTCGTAATTGTAAAATTCGTACTAAGGGTACTGTACTATTTCTAGCACCAATATCGAATTCGATTTCGTTACGCGTCAAATGTCAAATTCCATACAAAACTTCGTGGAATGGGCGGTAAAATCTAATATGTGTAGATGAATCTTCGACAGTTATCACTACGGGTCGGCTTTGTTGTTCGAGAAACTGCCGACCCGATTAAATGTGAAGCTACCTTTACACACATCGATATTGAACTCCACTATTCGAATTTGATATTGATGCGTGCTAATAGTACAGTACCCTTAGTACGAGTTTTACAATTACGAAAACTATGATAGTTTTCGTAAGCTCGCACTCGTACTAAGAGTACTGATTTTATTGTTTTCGTTTTAATACAAATAAACAGTGTTTAAATTCTATCATTAAATTATTTGTGTCTTCTTAAATTTTATGTTTATTTGGTTGCTTTTCATCAAAATGGACATAGAAACATAATTTACAATTACGAAAACTATGATAGTTTTCGTGAGCTCAAACTCGTACTAAGGGTACAGAATGCAAAAAAGGATTCGAAATCATCTCAAAGTCTTACTCGATGCTTGTTCAGTCGATATTGATAATATTAAATGCTTCTTACGTAATATTAATTTAAATGAGGTTGACTGCACAGGTATATTGTTTTATATATTACTAGCATACTCAGTGAACTTCGTGCCACCCAAAAGTAATAATTTGCTATACAATAATATTGCGACTATAAATTGAGATGTAAGCTATCCTATCTTTCAAATTGGATAAAACTTTCAAATTAAGTAGTTTAGGAGTTCACCCCGGACAAACAACGCGACGCGTAATTTATATATATTAAGATATAAAACAATGGTAGTTTTCCAATTACAGAGCATAATGCGACTCAGTGGCGCACAATGCCGAATTATGCTGATGCGTAATTGGAACGTGAATTAGTTTTCAAATGCACCAGCAGAGTGCGCTAAGTTCAGTGTTGTAAAAAGAATATTCATAGAGTTAGCAATAACCTCATTAATGTGTAAATAAAGTGGTATACATAATAATTGGTTGAAAATTATTTTATTTCAAGTAATTTGGATTTTATTAACATTTTTTTGTTATCAGTATTTTTTTTAAATGAGTTCTAAAAGAGTTATATACTTTTTAATTGAATCATCTTACCCAGATGATAGTGATGATGAAGATTTATAGAGTACTCCCAGTTTAAAACCTGAGTTGGTATCGATTGCACGCATCACACGAAAACATTACTTTTGAGAGTGCTCGATTGTGCGAAGCGTTGCTGTAGTTGAAACATTCAACGTTAAGCATTATGCCGCACAATGCGCTCTAGTGCTGTAATTGGAAAACTACCAATGGTGTCTACTCCGGCGTAATTCTCTAAACCTAAACTTAAATTGAACGATAGTGGGACCAATTCTGGCGTTACATTCTCTAAACCTAAACTTAAAATTAGAGTGCTAATTTTAGTTTAGGGTTAGAGAATTGGTATTCTGAAATTGCTTCTTCTTTCTTTTTTTAATGGCTCAATGGGGATATACCCACAATTCTGCCAATTTCACGTAGATAGCCACTACACGACAAGGGATTCTTAATAAAATTAATTTTAAATTAGAGAAGTTGAAAATACTATTTTAAAAATTCTGTCACTTCCTATGTTGATTTAACGACCCTGTAACAAAACACAACACATTTTATGGCATGCACGACAAAACACAAAACATCACAATACACAGAATTAACATTTTAGTGGAGGTTGAAAGCGTGTCTAATTATAGTTTTAATTTGTTACATTGTATAAATTTAATAATTATTTTTAGTAAGGGTGAGTTAACCAATTTTAGGACGTTTTTAACATTTAAAGGTCGAGGTACATCATGTGGAAGGGCATCATATAAGGAATATCGAAGTTTGGGACAGTCGAATAACAAGTGTTCCGCTGTTCCTTCGTCTATACCACATTCACAGAGAGAGTTATCTCTAACCTTAATTTTCTTCAGATGTACCGGAGTACATGAGTGGCCTAGGCGAAGACGACATAGGACTGACACAATCTGCTTGGGAACATTTTTTTGTTTGAAATACCATGGCTTAGCTGGGATAGTTGGTTGGATGTCGAAATAGTGTCTACCAGTACTGTTTCTAGTATTTTCCCAATTTCTTTCCCATGACTGTAGCAGATGGGATCGAGTAACAGGAAGAAGATCGTGATATGCGAGTTGTGAATATTCAGGAGAACCTGTGGATATTGCATTTCGGGCACATGAATCTGCTGACTCATTACCCTGTATTCCACTATGACCTGGGATCCAACCCACTATCAGTTCTATACCTTTTAACTTGCATCTAAATAGGGCTTCTCTAATCTTAAGAATTATTGGATAGCGAGATTTGGTCCGGAACGGGTTGGCGGATATTGCCTGGAGGCAGCTTAGTGCGTCGGACAGAATAATGGTTTTATTGAGATTGTGTGATTCACAATATAGAATCGCCTCTAAAATTGCGATGGCTTCGCCTGTAAAAACAGATGAGGGTGGAGGAATTTTGAATCCTAAAATGACTCTAAACCTAGGTATCCATACGGCAGCCCCTACACTACCAGTGTCTGTGGTTTTTGACGCGTCTGTATATACCTGAAGCCAATAGGGCCAGTTTTTGGCAATAGTCTCGTTAAAGACTTGGTTTGCGCTAAGAGAGTGTTTTTCTATACCTACATTGAGAACGACTGGTGGGTTGAATACTAAAGATTCGA